TTAAAATTAAATTAAAATTTTAAAAAAAAAAAAAAAAAAAAAAAAAAAAAGAGATAGGGAGATATCTTTAAGGAAAAAACTATTTATATTACCACTTATATATATATGGGTTGTATATTTTAAAACTAGTTTCAATTATGATGTCTTTAGAGTGCCCAATTTTTTCAAAAATGGTAACCAACAATAATATGTTTTATTCATTTTAATTAAAGGGTAGTCTGGGTGTGAATGTGTGTGTTAATTGTGGGTGTATAATAAATATTGTTTATTATAATATGTATATAAAAGGTGGTGTGTGTATCTGTGGTGTGTGGTGAAATATACTATAATATATTATAATTAAAAAAAAAAAAATCTAGTTTTTTTTGTGTGCTACCGTTGTGAGGTATTTGAAGATAGAGTATTTTTAAATAGATTGTATATTCTATACTAAATTTGGTTATTTTAAGGTATAGTGTGTTTATTTCTCTTTTTCATTTTAGTTTTCTGTAAATAATAACAGGTATATGTATATCAATTATTAAATCGACTCTAATATTATTATTATTATTATTATTTATTGTTTTTATTTTTTTTGGAAATTTAATAAATTAATAAACAAAAATATCTATTGTGTTTTTTCCAAATTGAAAAAAAAAAAACTATATTTTTTAAAAAAACTAATGGGAAATATAAAAAAAAAATAATGATTTTAATTGGTTTAAAAAATCTTTTAGTTTATAGTTTTTTTTTTTAAATATTTGTTTTGGTTATTATTTATCCAAAATTAATGAAATAGGAACAAAATTATCAACACCCCTAAAAAAAAAAAAGAAAAGAACCATTAAACAAAAGAGTATAGTAATTAGGTTTATATTGAATAGTGGTTTAAGCTAATAAAACTTAATATTATTTTGTGTAAAATATGTATTAACTAAACAAAGTAGTTTTACATTTTTTACAAATTTAGAAAAATTTACAACAAAAACAACAATAAAATTAATTTTACTTTTTTTTTTTTTTAAATTATAAAGGTTATTAAAATGTTATTATTTTTGTTATTATTATAATATTATTATTATTATTTTTATTATTATTATTTAAATTTCAAAAATATAGAAATTAATGAGTGAAGGTAAGAAAGGAAAATTTAATTAAAATGTAAAATTAAAAATAAAAACAAATAAATAAAAAAATATAAAATAAAAAAATAAAATAAATAAATAAAATAAATAAATATATAATATTTAATATTTAATATTTAAAATTTCATTCATTTTAATAATTATAAATACACACACACACAAAATTAACACACACATGTATTTTTTTTGATTATTGTAGAAATTGTTTTTTTATGAAAAAAAAATTATTAATAATATTATTTATTGTAATATTATTTTATATAAACAATTA